ATCAAGTATCTTTATATATTCATTTTCAATTTTTTTTATACAATTATTATTGCTGTTGTGTGGCCGATGGTGTCAACGGTGGTGGTGGTGGTGGCGTTTTACTGTTGAATATTGTTGAATTGGTCAAAATTGAGTCAATTGGTGACGATGAACGTCCATCACGTAGCAATCTGTTTTTAAGTAGATACCATATTACTGCAGCAGTTAATGATGCCATACAGAGTACCGTGATGACTGTCAATATCAGAACGCACATCTTCATTGTGATCATCATTTCGCCAGCCTTCTGAAAGCATTCAGAATATTTATACAATTATTTATTGTAGGATGACACTTAGTGTACAGGCAACTGATGGCTTACACTCCTTACCCATTTTCAACTTACTCATTAGTATATAAATATGGCTATACTGACCATCAATAATAAATTATTCAAAATTTATCAGATAGGAACATCATCACTAAATTCTTTCAATTTTAATTCAGTTCCTGCTATCAATTTTTTTTTTTTTTTTTGCTTCTTTTTGCTTTACTCAGACTAAAAGTTTTCTTTCATTATTTTTTCTTTTGAAAATTTAAAAAGTCAAAAAAAAAAAAAAAAAGAAAAATAAGAAGCAGTACAATGTATGGCATTCACTTCAGAGATGAAAGAATTTTAATGCTTAAAGGGGGGGGGGGGGAAAAAAAAAAGAGCAGACAAATATATAAAGAGGTAAACAAAGAAAAAAAATATATATATGCTTCTTTTTTTGTACAATCAAATATGAAGCTAAATTTTTTCAAGAGGTAAATTGTATCGAAAAAAAGAAGAAGAAGAAGAAGAACTCTTTTTTTTTATTAAGTTATTAAGAGTCAAAAAAAGAAAAATGAAAAGGAAAAAAATAGTATTTTCTGCTTCGTTTACCTTTGATTTAACACTTTCATTGTCGTCGTCGTTTTTTCTTTTTTTTTTGTTCTTTTTATTTGAAGAGTTCACAGTCGTTTTTTTTTTTTTTTGTCTTTTCTGTTTTTCATCTGTTTCTTTCCCCACTTTCTTTTATCCCAAAAAAAAATAATGCTTATTGCCAAAGACGGATAAGCAAAAATGGGAGAAAAGAAAAATGTAACAAAACTAACAAAAACAGCAAATATTAATAATTCACAAAAAAGTATCAATAAAAGTGCTGTTTTTGTTCACTTTTTTTTTTTTTTTTTTTTTTTTTTTT